CAAAGCAAAGCATCAAATAAGTAGGTATATTCCCTTTATTTGGCAAGGGATAGATATCACTAGTCAGAAGCGCCGCCGTAGCTTGTAAATTTAAGCGGCGTCGTGGGATTTGGGGAGAAGGAAAATAAAAGTATCCACATAATGACTTTTGTAACGGATCTTCAAAAGAGAGAATGCGCTTGCACTTTTTCCGTCTATAGCCCATACTTATATATACCTGATGTACCTAGACGCGCCAATTCCTCGCGATAAAGAGAGAAAGAGGGTGAGTGGGGGACCCTTTTTACGCAGCATCTCTCGCATGGCATTCCTCGACACATTCCGTTACTTAAACTTACTTGTAGGTCTGACTCTCCGCTCTCTCGAATCACGAGATCGAGCGCATAAATAAATAAATAAATATATGTATTAGATGACGATGATGGGAGTAAGAACTACATATTTATGCTGAGATTTTCCAAGATGTATACACATAAAAGAATTTTCAAAAAAGTCTGATGCAGCGTCAGAACGATTATAATACAGTGCGCGAATGGATGAAGAAGAGGAAGAGGAAAAGGGAGAGAAAAAACAAGAGAACGAGAGATGCAGGTATATGTGTATGTATAAGGTAGGAGCCGTTAAGATATATATATATATTTATACCTGCTCGCTCCAGAGTCGCGAGCGACCGGCGACCGGCCACATTCCGGAGCAAGAATAAGTACACCATACACACTAAACTGTTGCTGCTCTTAATTGAAAAAAAAATTTTTTCCTTGCACTCTCGCACTGTACATTTATTATTATATTATGTTAATAAATGATCATCACCACTTGGTCACTTTTTTCGCACAACGCTCATATGTAAGTATGTAGGTATACAAGAAGTATATAAGTACGTACGATGACTACTTTTGTTGGTAACAGCATAAAAAAAAAAAAAAAAAAAAAAAAAACTGNTTTTTTTTTTTTTTTTTTTTTTTTTTTTTTTTTTTTTTTTTTTTTTTTTCTAACCGATCCAAAGTTTTTTTTACACCTATAAGTACAATCAATGTCAGAGCCAAATCTTCGAACTGATAACGCTGATAACAAAGTATGTGTAGGTATACAACTAAAGGATCAACAAAACTCGGGAAATACATTACACACAATGGAGGGCGATGATATGTTATCTACTTATCAGAAAACAAACGAAAAGAAGTTGATTTCGAAAAGATGTGAAAAAGGTACATATGAATACTAAAGGAGAAGTTATGGACCGGTAATACGAATATAACTCTCCTTTTACGGCGTTGAATAGAATTCACCCCATTGTACCTTATACCCGCAGTGTAGCAAGAGAGAGAGAGAGAGAGAGAGAGAGGTGTCGGTTATATTGCCATCAAGCATCAGACGTCAGGCAAGATCGTTGGTTGTCCTTACCTCGGACAACAGTTAAAATACCTATATAAATGGCTGTTATATGGTTATGGTACAACTTGCAAGCCAATAATAAGGTGAGATGGCAGAAACCGTGTACCTAAATATTTGTTGATTTGTTGTAACAGCTGCCAACTGACATGTATAGCATCAACACCATCAACGTACCAGCACGCACACACGCATTCATCACATGAAAATCAGAGAATGATATCGGATGGTGTGAGGCTTGTGTGTAATGTATTTATCGGTATTTCAAGTTTTACTGAATGAAACTATTGAAATAATGTAGGGTATAATATATTTTGTGGCATGAAAAATTTACGAGCTCTTTAATTATACCGAAATTCTATTGGTAAGGTGACTTACGTGTATCAAAGATAATAATATATATAACTCCTTGTGATTGGGATAACTGGTATGTATATCTACATAACAAGCGTATACATTTTTTGACCGTCCAAAAATATTTTTTCTCTTTGCTTTTATTTCATCCGCACAGTAAATGCTAAGTATTGTAGCTATACGAATAATGATAAAACGTGCAATATAATATACGGAGACGTTTCGTCAATCAATGCTAATTAAAATTCGTGTGTAAGGAACATTGTTATATTTATCAAAACTTATATAATTTCTTTCGTAACTCCCATCACCTGCAGGACTATCCTCTGTATTCATCCTAATATATATATATTGTGAACGTGTGTGTGTGGGTGTGCTCTAGATTACAACCCGAGCACCTACTTGGCAGATTATCGATTAGAATATATTTTGTATGTAGCGCCCTTACCTTTCGATTATTCACCATAGCAACGACAATAACGATGTAGGCATGTGCTAGTTTCACGAGAATTGGGCACTCGAATGTGTACATATTTTTCGAAATATTGTATAATCCAACATTGAGACACGAGTAGTGGAATTTAAGAAAAAAAAAAAAAAAAAAAATTGAATTTACTTTTACCGCACGCGGTCAAGATGTTGCTTCTCTTTTCTCTCTCGATCCCATGCATACGCACTGCACATCCTCTCCTCCAGCATCTCTTCTGTCTCTCTCTCTCTCTCTCGGCGCATTCTTTACCTCTGCGTGTATTTTAATAACATACACCTACGTGTAAGCTAATGTGTACATACGTTACACGCATGTGTATAAACTGCTCTCTTCTCCTCATCTGGAACTTTGCTTTCTTTGGTCCTTCGACAACTCGTCTGATATACCTCATTCCGATGATGTGTTTGCCCCGACTATCTTTTGTCTCTCTTTTTCGATATACGTATGCGCATATGATTTTTTGTTATACGTATAGGTGTCCTCCACGTGTTCGCCCACTTTCGGTCATGTTTACCATTGCATTCCTTCACTTTGGCCCTAATGGTCCTTTTGTAACGCGTCGTAATGTGTCTTTTGACTCTTCTCACGTATACCTTATACGTATATACTTAAGGTGTACACTTCAAGTGTGTGTCTCCCCTTGAAAACATCTCTTTCATCCTTGGCGTTCTTGACATGTCCAACGTATTTTTTTTTTTTTTTTTTTTTTTTTTTCAACCTCCCGCTAAGCGCGCGGATCAGTTTGTTCGTTTCGCTATCATAAAAGGATCATTTGCTCGCGGACCGATTGTACCGAGAGTACCTTCCGAGATACGAGAGAGGAAGAAAAAAAAAAAACAACGTCCTTACGAGAGCGGCCTACCAGTTTTCCTCCTCGTTCGCAATTACCCGCGGCTTTCCTTGGCATTTTTCGTTAATCAGGCCTGCGCGCCGCCGCGAAAAGAAAGAGAAAACCTTTGCGCGACAAACATATTCTCAGTCCTTTGAAATTACTCCTCCTTCATCCGTCTCTCGATGCAACTGTATGGAATTGCATCGCACGGCGCGTGAGAATTTTCGAGAGCCCGACGAAGGACGTGTAAGTAAAAATAAAGAACTCGGGTCCAACTGAGTGAAGCGTCGTTGGCATCGTCCTCGGGGATTATACACAATGTAAGATTAATGAATCTGGCTCTGTTGGTTGAATCTACGATTTTTTTCTTTTTCCCGAAAATAAGGAGCATCAAAGCATTCAGGTACGAAGACGTTATTTGTCGACGCACATATATCTCTTGTGCGTGTATATAAATGATATTAATGAATCTGGGGTTGCCTTATTATTCCCGGCATCCTGAAACCTTTGACCGGATGTTCAAGAAATATACAGTGTCCTAAAATGCGGGCCCTGCATGTGCCATGGCCCTGTAAGTAAAAGAAATGTCTCGTATGTACATTGCCTCGGATTTATCTCGAGGCTCACAGATTGTGGCTCACCTCATATGGCTAATAGTCGAGCATACTTGAACTCTGACACTTGAACTAGTTCATTGGCACTTTGTTTAACTTGATTATAACAGTTGTCTCTTCCATACAGGCCAGTGGTTATACAACACCATTATTCACGACCAAGTGAACATTTGTACATTTTCCGATACTTGAGAGAAAAAAAAAGCCATCGCGAGTCAAGATATGAAAAAAAAAATGTTGATTTCGCAAACTAATAATAGAACCAATGATCAATCCTTCAAAGCACTCGGAGCGGTTTTACCATAATATATTTTTTCCCTTCGCGCGATTCATATTTTCACCCGTTAACGCGTACATAATATATATGGTACCAGCTCGAAATAAGCCAGAATAACTCAATTTATTATTTTAACTCGGCCTCGATGTCAAACAAATTTGTTGGAATTAAAAGTGAGAGAACGCGCGGTGTGCGCCCACGCTCGTGTAAATATATACGTTATGACATTAAAGTATATACCTACACCCACTGCAGTGAAATGGAAACACACGGGGGCGCTATCGCGTGCTGCCCGCAACGCGTTTTAAGAGCTCGAAAATAAACAGGCGCTGGATTCCGCGAGACAGCTGTCGGTGAAAAAGATTTTCGAGTCTGTGGTTTTTTTTTTTCTTTTAAAGGAAGAGCCCCGAAATTCCTTGGCTGCGGGCATATATATATATATAAACATAAACGTGTGCATGCAGCGCCAGTCAGTATATTTTCAGCTTGTGAGTATACAAACGGGCCCGTCGGTCCATTCGAGCGATCGACGGTTAGTGTAATATGTATATACACACAAGCAAAGGGAGAAGAAGATCGAGGCGTCGAGGAGGAAGTCAAGGCAAAGACGCCGGTGCCAAAGGAGGGGGGCCATAAACGCGTGGTTATCGTCTCGCTTTTCACGCGCTCCCGTATCCATGTATATATATATAAACTTACGTTTACCTGCAGGCTTTGCTCTCTCGCAACAAACGCATAAAAAAAAACAGATCGCGCCCTCCCACGCTTTGTCTCAAGAAATTTCACGTACCATATTGTATATAGGTACTCGGTATAAATATATGCACACAATATACTACTATTAGATATAAGAACGACGAGTTTTTTTCTTCCCCTCTCTTATTAAGCTCTCGCTCTCCTCCTCGTCGGAGCGAACGTGCAACACCTCCTGTGTGAAAATGTTGGAGTATTGTTTTTCGGGTAACGAAAGAAGAAGAAGAAGAAGAAGAAGAAGGATGGATGACGATGATTAAGAAAAAAGGAAAAGAAAAAGATTCTTACCGTTGTCCGTGGTACAGGGACTTGACGAGCTTGACGGCGAAGAGGAACTGTATGGCGCAAATGAGGAGGCAGCACAGGTTGAGGCAGAGGGCGAGCGAGTACAGGACCACCGTGACGTCGTAGACGATGGCGAACTCGTCGTGGCTGATGAGGGTGTGCGGCTGGTACGACACGGAGGCCATGCGTATGAGAAAGGTGAGGGAGAGAAGGGCGAGCAGCAACGAGACCAAACACAAGAGGCCCAGACTGGTGAGTACCTCCTTGATCCCGGCCTCGAGGCCCTTTTGGGCGCGCTGCGACAGGGACGAGGACGACCAGGACACGTTGAGGGGCGCCACGCTGCTCGTCGTCGTCGTCGTAGTGACTGTCGGCACGGCCGTGCACGTGCTGTTGGTGTTATTGGGACAGGGCGTCGCCGGCGACGGGGTCGGCTGGCCCGGCATCCGCCTCGAAATGTCCAAGCCCCCATTCACCTTGGACAGATCCCCGTGGTGCTGCTGCTGTTGTAGATGTTGTTGTTGTTGTAGATGTTGTTGTAGATGTTGTTGTTGTTGTTGTTGTTGTTGGTGGTGGTGGTGGTGGTGGTGGAGTTGCGAGTGGGCGAGGAGTTGTAGGTGATGGGGTGGGCGGGCGCGCTCGGCGTAGTTGGCCAGGTGTGCCCCGACGACGGGGCTGGCGCTGTTGACCGAGTGCTTGGAGGTCGAGAGGGTGGAGAGGTTGAGGGCGTGTTGGGAGTGGTGGCTGGCGTTGAGCCGGGCCGCGAGGTTGTTGACGCTGAGCTGCGAGTGGTTGAGGGGATGGTGGCGCGAGTGCACGCCCGGCTGAAACTGCTGATGGGGCCCGGCTCGTTGGTGATGGTGGCCGACGTTGTCGTAGACGTCGGCGCTGCTCTGGGCTCGGATGGAGGCGCGGGCCGAGGGATGGCCAACCTGGAAGCCCTGTTGGGCTGCAGCTGGTGTCGAGGACGAGGACGTCCCCGGATTGTGGTGGTAGTCATGGTGCTGCTGGTGGTGCGGTGGCCGGGAGGCAGCACTCGACGACGACGACGGCTGCCCCGTCAGGATGTGCTTGAGCATCACTCGAGCTCGCGATGGTGTTGGGCTTTGTTGGCGGTGGTGCGGGCGCAAGCGATGGGGCGACGGACGGCAGGAGCTCGGGGCCCGGGGCTCAGGGTGTTGCTGCACACCAGGGCCGGCATCGCCGAGTTAATCTCTCCGGGCCGGGCTCTATATCTATAATAATGTACGTTGGGCACGGGGGGGGGTTGTGCGTTCACCTTCTTCCGCTCGGCTCGTGCGGAGCGCGGCGACTACAACTGCCGAGCCGCACTCCCATTCCTCGTGACTGCTGCTTATATTATATGCTATTTTTGGAGCCAACGAGCGCCGATATTCAACGCTGTACCACCTATATATGTATGTCGGTGGGTCTAATGCGCGTATATACTTTGAGCTCCCGGTGATCCTTTGCCTTAAGGCGGCTGCAGTCGCGGTCTCGGCTGCTGGCCTTGGGTCCTTCTCCTTGCAGCCCTAACACCCGGCATCGCTGACGAAAACTCCCTCGGCTCTCTGAAAACCAACAAACAGCATCATAGGGTTACAATTTTTTCCTTTCCTTTTCCTTTTTATTTTTTTCTATTTTTTTATTAGTAAATACATATACACAAGTTAGTTGAACATAGTTGTTTCGGAAAGCGCGCTCGAGTGGGTGTATAACCCACGTATATTACATACAGGATTCTTTTAAAATATATGAGGTTTGTTCAAATCCCTATTTGATTCGGTACCGGTTCCGTTGTATAACCGTATAGGTTCTGCCACATGTATTTACGTTTTGTGGGAAAAAGTATGCATATGTATAGGGCAGAACCAGGACCGAACCTATCAAAATGTAGGTACAGTTGCAAGCTCGCGCGCAAGTTTTGCTCTCGGAAAGTAAATATACACTTGTATGCTTAGGGTAACGCAAAACGCGCAAGAAACGTATATATGTACGTATATATTATACACCTACGGGGTATACTTGTATATATATATATATATATATATATACGAGTCTGCATATTATTATCTTGGCGATGAACGTGGGTGTAGAGTGTAAACATATTACCGAGAAACGAAGCGTGGAAGAGAGAAAAAAAAGGGGGTCAGCGGCGTGTGGCCGACGAGGAGTGAGCGTCACGTTTTCTAAAAGCCGAGTGAGTATGTATATATAACCTATATACGCGGTGTAATTACCATACACCTACAGGAGGTGCGTGAAAAAGAAAACAAGACAAGCCACTGCCACGGAGCTAAGGTCTTATCCTGCAGTTGTACATACGGGTAATAAGGAGGTGCATAGAGAGGGCCCCGTTACATATGGCTTATCTGCACGAGCGCAGGAAAGGGATACTTGCAGTGCAAAACTTGTGGGAGGAGACCATGAGACTTTGATGCGAGAAACTCTGCATACACGTGTACTTATAATTTATACCTTTCTCGTGGAGGAAGCACCAAAGGATGCTTGCAGACATATATTAGGTAAACTAAGTATATGCATTATTAGGGATACATGCTTATACGCGACGAAGGGCAGTGAAATATTAGTATCGATGTAAATCAATTGAGTAAAATCACGTTAATATACCGTGTATTTTCGTTACATTTTCGACATCTTCGGTCAACTATACTCGTTCCCTTTCTCACATTGGGTCATATCGGATTATGAATAGGCAAGTTAAATTAACGGACAAAGACAAAGTATAATCTATATATGTATGAACAATGATCACAATGGCAATCTCTTTTTCGACGATTTTACCGCTAAATGGATACCACACACGGACGTACACGCGCGTACGGAACATGAAACCCAAGTATAACGTAAGGGTAAGTAGGCCGACTTGATTCATATACCTATGCTATGGTATATTCTATATACATCTTTTTTTTTTTTTTTTCTTCCTTCATTAGTGGCTGCCTACGATTCTCTTTTATCTCGCACTGCCTACTCGAGTAACACTTCCACTTACAGCTTTTTTAGACAGAGAGTTATCTGTTACTCCACATACGTCAGTCTACGTAGAGGACAAGTAAGTAATTATTCTTTTTCCCTTTATTTCGGCTGAAGGTAAAATGAAAAATCAAGAGTTGCTTCTTTTATTTCATAAAATTCGTCGTCTCGAGCGGTGGGATGTGTCATGGGTTGTGACGAAAGATGTAAAAAAACAGCGAGTAAAAAGAGGAAACATCACGAGCAGCCGCGCGACGAATGTTTAAGTGAAAAGTGACGATTCTCCTTTGCGTCTGATGCGAAGCTTGCATTTTCCCCTGAAAGTAGATACTTACAGTATGGATACAAAAAGGCGCGCGAGCGCGAGAACAGAACAAACGTCGGTGATGGTCAAAAAGCTGGCCGCTTCTTTCGTTCCCAAGAGTAAGTGTGTATATATATACCCGAAGGTATATGTATCGTGCATTTGCTCGAGCGTGTGAGTGGGTGAAACTATACAAGTACACGGTGCCTGAGTACACGAGAAAGATTAAAAAGAAGACTGATGTGCATGGTAAGAGCTTTTTTCACGAAGCGCCCCAGTGCATGTGGTTACGCACAGAGATACATACATACAAATTGTATTTATGGTTACTCTCGTACATTTCTATAAAATTATATATATATACGATGAAGATTTCGAGAAAAAGATTTTAGACACGTTTGGATACAAAAGCTCTCATTCCTGCGTGCATGGAATACTTGGGTATACGTATATGAAAGAAGAGAGGCGGCATCTTACATTTTTCGATAAAATTACTGGGTCTTTTCTTCAGACTTTATATACAATCCTATAACTGATAACAAAGTAATAACGAATTTGCTTTGTATAAAGTGATCAAAGGCTCTTGTGTGAAACAAGTTTTACTTTGATCATCATTGCTATAGTATATAGAGATGAAAAATGTTACGAGAGATTTTTATTCTTTACCGCGACAATTTGACAATGAACGGGGAGAAATTATTCGTATTTAGGGATTTTTACCTGTACAAAAAAAAATTTTACTCTCTGGGTATTGAATTTTAAAAGCCGCAAGTGTGTGAATGACGTGGAGATGTGCGATTCCCTACCGTTGGAATCTAACTGCCGACGATGCTGATTATTTTGGCAAGGTGTGCAGGGGAGATCGGGTAAACATATAGTGTAATATAAACCGATTTTATACTATACATTGTACAATATATATGCACAAGAGAAGTGTATACCGAAACCAACGCATAATATAATATTATGTTTATACTACACGAAACTAATAATGCTCTTATAATTATGCAACGTCATAATATAATAATACGATCTCTGCAAGACTAGCTAATTTACGATCGTTATTTTTATCTCAATTGTTCATTTTTACGACACAAGAATATAATTATGTAATAGGTATAGAATATGTACTTATACGGAAGCGCGAGTGTGTGATCACAGTGTGTTTTATCTTAAAATATACTTACTAAGCTAAACGTTCATTCGCACATGAATAATGCACGAATCGAGTTTTTTAACTGAGCGGTACAAGATGATGTAAAAAGAATGCGCAATAATAATAACAATAATCGAGATATAATTAAATGTGGAGGTATACACGGCCATAAAGAGCTTCCCAAATGCAACGTGCACATGAACACAGTTTACTTTTACTTAATATGTTTGTAAGTATATATGAATGCGCGTACAAACATACAAATTGCGAATAAACGAGCCTTGGAGCTTATATTTCTTCTTCTTTTAATGCTACAGCTAATGTATTTATGATGTGTGTAAAGAGAAGCCCCACACGGAACAAAAAGAGCCAACCCAAGAAAAAGAAGAAAAGAATGTATTTGCGTGTACGCAGTTAAAAAGATAACGAAAAAAAAAAAAAAAAAAAAGGCTTGTGCCGATTTTCAGGATCGCATACTTCTATTTGGCCACAAAAGTCGTAGGTATACGATGCGCGCAGAGAGGCTTCTTCCCCGCGAGAGAAGTCCTATATACACGCATATAGCCGCAGTTTATCCAATTATAGAGTGGGCGAAAAGTTTTCTATACTATACATATATATATACGTGCGATGCATTTGTATTGTTGTATATGTAGCCTCCCACAGGAGTAAAATAGACGCGACTCGGCTACAGTATAATGCACAGTGTGCTGATTTAGTACGTACTCACTTCCGCTCTCGACTGTTCTCCTCTTTCTCGGCACTTTTGTCTACGCGTACAATTTGTCGTTTCTGTATACGTATACACACACACAGTTGTTTTTTTTTTTTTTTTTTTTTTTTTTACTACCCTTCCTTTCTAGGGGGGTTCGCGTAAACTATTTATTGTGGAAAAAAAAAGAGTCGCGTCTTCAGGGGTCAACAGACTCCCTCGAGCTCGTACACTCGAAGGTATTTAGGTATGCTCCGTTTTTACGTTTGCTCGTACGGTTTGTACTTATCGATTACGCTATGCTATATGTATATATCATACACCTATACGTATAACTCATATAATATGTCCATATAGTGTAGGCCATCAGCATAGAGCCCTCGCGTTCTACTTAATGTCGTTAATGCACGTCGCGCGAGAGTATACTTATATGTAGCGGGTTCTCAAGTATACATGTATGAACACCCATTCGTGATCGTTATCTTTTATCGATTTTACACACGTGGATTCGATCGAGCGCCACCTGCTTAAATATATAATACAGGCACACCTTAAATTAATCCCAATCGTATGGAAATTAAAAGCTTTGCCGCGGTCTTGGGGATAACAATTACGAGAGTTTTTCAACTCATGCTACGCGCTAATGGTGTATATATGTGTGTTTTTCATGTTCGAGAGCGCGCCCGCACGTACAGTTTGGAGCGCAAAAAGAAAATTTAAATAAGTATGGATATTTAGTGGCAAAATAATCATCATGCAAACGAGCTCGCACCTTTTATATACACAAGGTGTGTATAGGTAATCGGAAGTGTGCCGTACGAGATACACACGTTGCACATTACTTACGCATCGGTTATCACAATGGGAATACCAAATTGAGATCTACGCCGATGCGTATATAATTATATGCTCGTTTATACGTACATACCTACACATATTGTAGCGTCGGATGGTGCTTCGGCTAATTTGTTCGGCAGAAAGTGTCGAGAAAAAAAAAAAAAAAAAAAAAAAAAAGAATGAGTATACAATATAAATGTAGTGGCGAAGAATTATACCCTAAAGTCCGTTCTTGTTGTTGTTGTTGTTATTTGAAAAAACAAAGTATAGATACATAATATACGTATTATTTACAACTACTTAAAAACTGATTGTGCCTTGATTATTATGATGGCATTATGATCATTATGTACTTATATCTACAGAGAACAGTACACCACCACCTCTACAACAGAGGCTCTTTTCTTCTCTCTTTAAATTGCCCGCTTCAAGAGCGGCAACGACGACACGAACTACTACTCATTCTGCTCATTCATATCGTCGAGACATT